ATATAATATTCTTTAAATATGAACCCTTGTATCCAAGTTCAGCTTTCTGTCAATAACTCATTTAAAATGGGATTCAAGGCCCAGAATATCTACATAATTTCCGGCAATTCTTCTACGTTTTCCACAAAAAAAAATGTTTGTTTTCCCTAACTGAAAAACTTCCCAAGTCAAAACCTCTCAAGTCGATTTTTTGTGTTGTCCCTTGAAATTCGACTTATTACTATTGAGGCTCGATTGCATTTTAATACCATTAGTGAGCCAGGATATCTTGAACTTGAACATTTGAACTACTCCAAATCTGCAATGACAACGAATTTAGCAAAATGTATCGAGTGCCAAAGCACCTTACTTTGAACGTTGAAGCCAAGATTTTTGCTGCAGTTATTTTACGCCAATAAAGAACAGCACGGTACTTTCAGACGACAAGCGCAACTATTCTTGTACTCGTTACTCCTTTTTAAAGGTATCGATTAATCTTTTTTGAAATGTCTCACCAGGTTCCAGTGCATTTCCCAGACCTTCACCAGTGTTTAGTGCCATGTCAAAGATACTTTTCAAATGGAGCAGGTTGTTGACGAGAAACCAGGCCTTGTTCGGAGGGGCTTCATCAGGAAAACGACACGCTTCGGACTGCAGTCCTTCGAAAACGTGTCTCTACGATTTCCACGTGAAGAACGGCGGGAAAATGGTGAACTTTGCGGGTTATTTGATGCCTCTGCAATACGGAAGCGTGGGGATTGCTGAATCCCATCGACACACCAGGGAACATTGTTCTCTGTTCGACGTGTCACACATGTTGCAGCAAGTGGTGACAGGGAAACATGCAGCGGATTTCTTGGAGTCACTGACTGTCGGCGACTTGAAGGAGCTGCAGGTTAAAATTTTCGTGAAGCCACTTTCTGACAGTAGCGACATCTATTAAACAAGAAATGAACTGATTTGCTAATGGGTCCACCCTCCGCAGTCAACACAAGAAATCGCCCGATTTCTCATCTCAACGAAATCGTTTCCCCATGACGACATTTTTCAGTAAAAAATTCTTGAACATTACTGAGCTGGGAGATTGTATTTGCAAATTTTTCAAACAGTTGAGGAAATTGAAAAAAGAACATTGCTGTATACAGTATTTTCCCCATTCCCGTTCGTCTCTGAAATTTTAGATTTTCGAGAATTTCAAAGCAAAAACTTGCTAGGGTTACAGCGCTTTAATTTCAGAACACTCAGTTATGAATTGAAAATTGTCATTCGAAAATTTGTAAAATGAACAAATTTTAAGGTTACTGCTGCTGTGGCCTTTTTGGGGGTGCCTAATAATCCATATCATACATGTAATCCATATCAGATGATATGGATTACATATTTTAAATTAAACTAGAAGGGGAATCACTTTTCACAAAACAAAAATTTTCCTCAACAAAATGCATCCATAGATGGATTGAATTGATTACGGTATATGGGGACTGGGAAGCCATTGTAAAAAAAAGTTGGCTTGAATTTAAACTCAGGTGACACACGGAGAGTTTTTTGTCATTATTTGGCATGCTTTTCGTTTTTGAACAATTTTAGATTGACCAAATGCCCCCAAAAGGTAACTTGAGCAAAGTTTGGAAGTCTCGAAATCATTGGCAGGGTTGAACTGAATTATTTTTTTAAACACCACCAATGTTTATCGTGTAAAAATGATGCAAGGGATCATAGGAAATTTTTATCCAAGTTTTTTCTGTCCAGCAGAAAAATAAGTGTGACATTGAAAAGCTTTGCCCATTTGAATCAATTTGCGTTTATCAACTTCTCGCTGATTTAAATAGTTTGAAAATTCAAGCTTTTAGTTAGTTGGAGTAGGTGAGTTTTCCAATTGCAACTGACCACAGTAAACCGTGAAGAAATCCCACCATTTTAAAATATGATAAACTGTATCTTTTGCGCAATTTAATGAATTTACTTTCTTCATCGATTAATTTTTCCAGTCAATGTTGCCTATGTTGGTATGCAAACATTTCATGCCTTACAATTTGAGGCTGGAGGAAACCAACTGAAGACATTTGAAAGATGATAAAGTCCATTTTCAAGTTTTTCTGAATTTTGCGAACACAATCTTGTTGACTATAATAGTATAGAAACAGAAATTTCCAGCATGACTTAACGTATATCCTCTATTTTTATTATTTTTAATTGCCAACATACCATTGATGAAATCTCTCCAGTCTTGAAAAAACAAATGATTATGTTTTCTCAGATTGGCGAAGGAACTCTGTCACTGTTCACCAACTGCAGAGGCGGCATAATTGACGACCTCATCTGTAATCGCATCGGGGACGAGTCCTTTTACGTAGTCTCCAATGCTGGGAGACGTGACAGCGATTTAAAGCTCATGAACCAGCAATTAGAAGAGTTCAAGAAAGATTCCAAGGATGTGAACATCGAACAGCTCGACTCGTCCTTTGGCCTCGTCGCTCTGCAAGGCCCAGAATCTTCTCAAGTGAGCGAGATATTTCAATTTTCAAATCTGTTTTTTTTTTAAATTCGTACTAAATACCTCATTATTCAAAATTACGTTACATCAGGACGAGTTGGACTCATGTGTGCTGTAATCCTAGACGATTTAGTCAGGCATTTAAGACATGAGCATCTTTTGAAGAGATTATAAAGCTCATTTGTGAAGCAGATGACCCCCCTTTTAAGAGGATTAATCAGTACAAAGGTAGGTGTTGAAACAGCTTTCTAAAGTGCTTGCATTGTCTTCAATTTATTTGAATTGATGTCTGAAGGCTGAAAATAAAATGCTGCTTTGTTTTTGTTCCTCCAAAAGCTGCCTGAAAAATAAGACCAACAAATATTTAATTTCCAGACTTGGATCTTGTGTTTTTCATAACGGTCTAAATGTGTTTTTAACTTCTTCGGATGAACATTTTCACAAAACTAGCGCTCTGTCAAGGAAGCATTAAGAGGAGGAAGCTGAGGCTTACAGTATTTTGAAAATAAAGAGGGGACAACAGATGGAAATGTAATTTATGCTTGGACCTTGTCCTCATGTTGGAGTGTCTGCATGCTGAATCACATTTTTCCATAGACTTCAACATTGTTACTTGGTTCTCCTGTTCATCAAAAATTAGGAAGCCACAAAAAATTAAATGCATGTTTTTCCTGAGCTACAGCAAGGTACAAAAAATAACTATGCATCAGAAAACCAGGCAGATTAAGATCTTTTGGCATCATAAGGATGAGCTCATGAAGCAAAGAAAAAGACCAAGTCTGCTTTACTGTGCACACATGATGGACAAAACTCTGAAAAAAGATTGACATAATAAGCCTGTTTTTGATTATGAGTTAGTGTTTTTTTTACAATAAAATGTATTTTTAGTAGCTCAATTTATTCAAGAAATATAATGGAAGAATAAAAATATAAACATTTTTTGGAAATCTTGGAGAAAAGTCTGTATCTTGAGTCACTGTCTGATGGATATTAGGACAGATTTCTTCATTTCACAGTATCCCTAATTTGAATTTTCCAATTGTCAGGGTGTTCATATGTTGGGGGTGTCAATGTAGTTATAAAACTGATTTTTTTTAAATCTGTGCAAATATAAATATAAATTTGTTCTTGAGACAAGAATTTTTCAATTTCTCTAAAGAAATGTTTGAAAAGTGTCCATAGTTTGAGACATTATCTGGATTTTGGGGCATATATTTCATTTTTAAGTGTCTCAAAGCCCAATTGTCCAAATACTGTGGTATCCATATTTTGGGGTCCAACTGTAATTGACTGGGGCTTACTAATTCTTGGAGCTTATCCAGTTTCTTTGATTTTTCATTACTCAAGATATTGGATCATCAGCCAGTACATTTAAACTTTCTAACATATTTCAGGAGTAAAGTTCTTATTAAATTTCCAAAAGGTGATGCAAGCACTGGTGGAAATAGATATGACATCCTTGAAATTCATGCGGACCACGGAATGCACTGTGGCAGGGATCCAGAACTGCAGAGTGACCAGGTGTGGCTACACTGGCGAGGATGGAGTTGAGATTTCAGTACCTTTGCGGAACACTCAAGCCCTGGCAGAAACACTTTTAACCACGTCCAAGGGTTCGGTGAGACTTGCAGGACTTGGAGCCAGGGACACCTTGAGAATAGAAGCAGGACTTTGTCTGTATGGCTCTGATATCAATGAAGGCACTACCCCAGTGGAAGCATCTCTGGGTAATGTGATTTTCCATTTGAAGTAATGTGGTTCATGTCAGCACTCATCCTCTCTTTCCAACCAGGATCCTATGAGAAAAAAAGGTTGTCCACTTGATTTCCACATTGCCTATCTAGCATGTCCAAGGTTATGCAAATATTTTCCAATGGGACCCTGAAATTGTCCACACATAACATGTCGAAAATTTACCCAAATTTCAGATCCAACATGTCCAAAATTTACCTAAATTGCACATGAAACATGTTCAAAAGTACTGTATGGAAAAACAAATTGTTTGTATAACATGTCCACAATGCATCCCAATTTTGTCCATTTGACCCTGAACTTGTCCAAACATGTCTGCACAAGTATCCTGTCTGATAAAATTATTAGGATAACTTGTCTGCAGAACATATTCCTTTGGATGAAATTGTTGGCAGAGTAAAGTTGTTTGTACATACTGCGTTCTAACATGTCCACCAAACAGGAATTGTGTGAGCATGTTCAAAAAGGTGCCAAAATTGTCAATCCCTAGTCCAATCTTGATATTCTGGCACTGCTGTCAAACATACTAAATCCTGCTTTGTGAATTGACATTATTAAAAAAAGTACAATACATGTTTCCAGTGAAAGTCTACAATTTAGCTGCATTATATTTTTTACCACCCAATTGAAGGGCTATTGTACTTGCGCTACCTTGCAATTTGACCCTATTCCATTGCTATAGTAATTGCAATTTGACCCTAATCCATTGCTATACTAGGGTCAAATTGCAAAGTGGTTGAATTGCAAGACAATGTCAAATGGCATGTTTTCTACATGGCATTTGATGTTTCATGTTTCTCCAGAGGTCAAATTGCAAGGCAGAGGTCAAATTGAGAGTTGACCTCCCAGCAAATTTGACCATCAAACTGTGGGAGGTTGAATTGCAAGGTACCACCTGTAGAAAGGTTTTTCTGAGCCAAAATAATGTTTTAATGTTAGAAGTACTGTTTCACACAATAAGTTGATAATTCTTAAGGAACATATCTTAGTGAATTTGTGTTGCAGAAGCAGTAATTGATAACTATAAAAAGGACGCTTTTGCAGCACAACGTAGCGATTTAAAAAGTCATGAATAATTTGATTCTTGATAAATTGCAAGGGTTTCCAATACTTGACAGAGTGACAGCATTTTTTGATTTTCTGAAAGGAATGAGAAAGCAAAATAGTTCGCCAATCAAATGCAAAGGTAAGCTAATTTTTGCAAATGATCTGTTTTATGGGGCTTGATTAGGCTTGGCAATTATCAGGCCCAGGGCTATTAAAAAATTAGCCTCAGATCCCTGTTCTTCATTCTTCTGCTTTCTTCGTTTTTTTTAAGCTACCGATTTTTTTTTTCAAGACTTTCTCTGAATTCTAGAAACAAAATCCTTTACAGAAACTTGATTTACGAATTATTTTTCAAGCTTGGACGATNTTTTTTTGCGGTTTTGTGGAAAAGAGGAAAGGAGCATTGGAAAAAATTATATCTTTAGTGGGGGGAATGGTGAGTTCATTGTCCAAAATTTGACTTGTCATGGACAATTGAAGCCCTCAAAAAATGTGCTACAACATCTGGACAATGTTTTGAGAAACATTTTGGCAAAATTTTCAATTACTGTGCATAAACTATACAGCCAAACCTCTTCAAGTCAAATTTCAACAGACCAGAAAAAAGGAGTTGTGGAGGCTTTGACTTACAAAAACAAGCATCTTTTGAAGAGAAAAATATTACAGGAAATTATAATTAGTGATAGTCTATAGACTTTAAATTGATTTTCAAGTGAGTTGACAGGATGCTGAACTTGGTGGCAAGGATTTGTCCACATACTTATTCTTGCACTTCAAACCACATCAAGATACATTTTTATTGCTTTCACTTTCCTATGACAATAAAAGTGTGGCTAAAAGACCCCCAGTAGATTTGAGTTAGGGAGATTTTTAATGAATTCAGCAAAGGACTTGAAACAAGTTGACATGGGGAGGTATTTGACTTAGGGAGGTTTGATTCATCTACGTTCAACTTAGTACAGATGGACAACCATATTCAAGGACCAGAAAATATTCTTTGCACAGAGAATTTCCTTGTAGAGAACATGCTGTACATCATGGGGGGAGAACCCCATGGGACAAAAAAAAAATTTGTTATGCACAGAAAATTGTTTTAAACTTTGTATATAGAGCAAAAATGTTGATATTCCTTGGGCACATTGAGCTACTGTATTTCCAAAGGCATGAAGTCAAAATAATTCTCATTAGAAATGTAGTCTCATTCAGTTTCCAAAACAGGCTAATTTTATACTTTTCCCCTATGGGCTTTGTCCATCAACTGTGTATCATGTATGGTAAATGCAATATAGCAACACGCGTTCTTGTTTTTTTTTTGTCTTCTGGACTCCTTTTCATGCCAAAAAGGCAGATTCTCTGGTTTTCTTCGCCACAGATTTTTTCTGTGTCTCAAAGTTGAGAAAAAATACTTTGCTATTGGATTTTTATAGGGTATTTTCCAAATGCTTTCAAACATGCTCAAGAGGCTATCAAACATTCCCCCCATTGAAACCTTTACGAAATATGTGATCCAAGATGCAGAAAACATTCCAATGAATTACACAGTCTGAAAAGCAATTAAGTTTGCATCTGCTGCTGTATAGCCCCTTACTGGTGTATATACATAGCTAGAAAGACATATTTACCAACAAGTTTCTCTATTCAGTTTGTGAGTCTTTCATGTAAGTGGTACAGTGATCCAGATCCTTGAATGAATTCTCATATAAATTTCCTCATAAATACATGTTTAACGAGTAATGAAGTGATTGCAAAAGTCCTCAGAAACCAGGAAAGCAAAGCAAAAAATTCTTATTTTGAAGGAAATTAACATGACAAGTAAGCAAAAAGAGAAAGCAAAAAAAAACGAAGAGTTCAAAGAAGGTATTGAATAAAGAAAGTGAAGGAAATCGCATTCGACATCAACTCATTCAACTTGAGTGCTGGTGCAAAAGCATGGTTCCTTCGAAGGAACGCGACTACAGAAGCGTCCTTGTAAAAAAATAAAATAAAAATGAAAAGCCCACACACGTATATGAATGAAAAAGAACAGCATCCAGAGCTGACAAAAATAACACCATATATTCTCCGATCACAAGAGGGAATGATTATCATTTTTCCAAGGAAACTGAATGCGAAACAATAATTCGCGAATCAACTCACTTTCCGGTGTTTGCTCATAATTCAAAGGAAGAGAGAGAAAAAAAAGGAAGACAGCGTCAGAGAATAATGCAAAGATCACCTTTTCGAGTGGACGGATAACATTGATAGTACAGAAGAAGAATTAAAAAAATAAAACAATACCCGGAAAGAATCGACGGCAGGATTTCTTCTCTTGTTTTCTCACCCTCCGGGTTCCGAATAAGTCCGCAATGACGTCAAGCGACGAACTTCATCGAAATTCGGATGAATAATATATAACGAGGAAACTCGACGTCGACGTCGCATTTCGAAGAAAAATTCCGCGCACAAAATAAAATGAATAAATAAAATTCGAATCCATCCACGAAGGGATTTTCATGAAACGCTTTTC